ATCAAAGGATTAGATATTGCGGGAGGTGCAGGGTTGGGCAAAAGTTAGGGTAAACTCAAGCTAGGGGCTGGACGGGTGAAGAAAGGGAATATATATATCATTTGACAGTCATTTTCCGTAGAGCTATGGAGTAGAGTGATATTGTATTGGTTGTCAAAAGGAAAAAAAATATCATAGAAATAAAGAGAATTAGTTTGGTTTGAAACAAAATTAAAATATTTTCTCCACTATTTCCCGCAAACAAGAAAAAATCACATCATCGGCCTTTATCAAAATAATCTTATATCAAAATAAAGTGTTGAAGGTGTAGAGTTTTTTTAATAAATATTTTATGTGTCCAAATTCAATATTAATCTCTAATTGATCTTTATATATATTAATACTTATAAATTATAAGATTGATTTGATAGATTTAGAAAAGAAGATAAGAGAAATTTTGGGTTCTAACTAATGAAAGTTATAATATTTGTTTGATGGATTTGAAGAGATCATGAATAAAAAGTTGTGAGTTTAATTATCTTCGTTAATAAATAACTAACATTTGACATATAATATATAATATATATAGTACTAAGTATATCTAATATAATCTTCGTCTTTTTATATAACAATGTATTCGAGATCATCTTGATCTTTCTATACACTGACATCTAAAATCTATGACAACTAAATATTTCAAGATCATTTTAGTCAAATTCATCAAGATCATCTTGGTTTTAACAAGTGTAACAATTGATATGTTCTTGACAATATTAAATCTTATAATGGGTGACATCATATCGTCTCAATAATGGCCAACACCATGTCGGCCTAGATCATGCCGACTTTGTTATCTCTTGTATGGATTAAGAGTTAAATTATTTTACAAAATCAATTAAGAAAATTAATTTTGGTAATTACCAAATATAATAATTATGTCTAAGATGTATACTCAAGAACGCTAATTACCAAACAAAAAGACCAAAGTCTCAATACTACTTTATTTCTAAGATCCTTATTTTCCCCATATCTTAATTCATCCTTCTCAAGAATTTTCATTTCCGAAAATTGCACTCATATGGAAGCATACACTAGGCAGAATTCCATATACTTTCCCAAAAATTACATAAATTTTCATAACAATTACCGAACAGATCAAAAGAACATCACAACAAACTTAATGTATTCTAAAACATACAAAATAAAAGCCACAATCTATTCACAACTATAGATAATAAGAAAGACTTAATATATATTTTGATCATGCAAACAACAAGCCACAAAGATCCACAATAAAAACTAAATCAATTCTAGAACAATTTACACATAGATTACCAAACCATATACAAATAGAGACATTAAACTTCTTCACAAAAGACTCAATAACAATCCACACATTCATACACATACGAATGCAATCCACATAGTCATACACATACACATGCATTACAATCACACAACGAAAGCTAGACAAGTGTACTCCCCAAAAGCCTCAAAGTTTTTTTTCCAAAGACGAGGTTTTAATACCAAAATGTAATGCCCCATATTCGGGGTGTCATGGGTTATTGCAAAAACTGTATATTTTAAAATTTTCTTACAGCGTAGAAACATATATTCAAAATTCATCAATACTTATTGCGAAAACAAATCAATTTGCATTATTTCAAAAGCCTTGTTCAATTACATTATTCACAAATAATGAAAATAACGAAGGAATAGAGATAACTTCAAATTACATTGTCTCAAAAGTCTATATCAAAAGAACTTTTAAAGAAACTTAAATCATTCCCTCGTCACCTCTCACGTTTATCATGTTTATGAAACATCTACAATATCATCTGCTCACGTATAATATATTATACGATCATTGCCAATAATTTCATTTTCACAAACACACACGTATGAGATAAATTACCGATAAAACAATCATAAAAACAAGATGCATATATACTAATTATATTAACAATAATCAAACACCCCATACATAAAAGTAATAACAATATAATTCTTAATCCTCTATACATAACAAATCAATCAAATCTGATTATTCGTTCCCCAATCATCGATCATTCATCCTCGATCATCGACCCTCGATCCTTAATTTCTAACCCTTGATGTTATTACTAACATCTCACACATTAGGACCTTCACATATTCAATCTTCTATGGACAACAATTATTGTTTCCTTTACTGATGCGTATAGCATATATATATATATATATATATATATATATATATATATATATATATATATATACTTAGATTTATTTTCTAAAATACAAATATGAGACCTTACATATATTTAAACAGTTTAAGCCTCTACCGAACTTCAATTAAATTAGGAAACTAAAGAAGTAGAAGGATATTGGGTGGAAATGGGTGAATATTTAGATTTTTTACTCAATATCTTACCTCTTTTTGCATTTATATCGTCTACTTTATCCTCACACTTACCATCCAAATGATGTATTTGAAAGTCAACATTGTCATATTGTTGAAATGAGTCTTACCCTTCTTTCTCAAGCTTCTCTTTTTATGTCCTTATGAGATCATGCCTTTCACACCACTATTTACATTATTAACAAACTTCCTTCTTCTGTTGTCCCTCATTATATACCATATATCATTCTCTTTCACAAAGATATTAACTACAATTTCTTCAAAATATTTGGTTGTGCATCTTATCGCCATACTCATCCCTATAATACCAATAAATTACAATTTCGTTCTATTGCCTCTACATTCTTAGGTTATTTCTCATGTCATAGTTCAAATGGCAAGATCTTTATTTCTAAGGATGTTATCTTTGATCGAAACACTTTTCCTTCTATCACTAAAATTCAAACTCCTTTGTTGTCATCTTCACCCTTCCAAATTTTTCCTCTTGGAATAATTCCCTCCATTGTTGAATCTCCCACTCAGCATGCTACTCAAGAATGCTCCTATTGTGTCTAAATTTGGTATTGTTAAACCAAGTAGCTTTCCTACTTTACTTCTCATTGTTGTAGAACATCCACTAGTGCATAAAGGACTTTTAGACGTTTGTTATTTTGGGCTTTTAACGTCAGATCCCGATCCAACGTCTTTATGGGTGACGTTATTAACCGACGTCTATAGTGCCCTTAGACGTCGGACATGGCATTAACTAACGTCTACTACAGCTCGTGTCTTTGGGTAGCGTAGTAGCACCTTCTTCCTTTGTTAGTTTCGTCATAGAAAAGGTTGTGTCTTTTGGACCTCTTATGGAATTTCAACCGAAAACCGAATCTGGGTCCTTGCCTAGTTCCATTCCAACCGGCAATGAACATGAATACGGTGACATGAGAACTAGGCAAGGACCCAGGTTCGGTTTTGGGTTGAAACGCTATAAGACATGCAAAAGACGCGAGCTTTTCTTACGAGGAAACTAGCAAAGGGAGAGTGTGTTACTACGCTACCCAAAGACACGAGAAAAACTGCATCAAAACACAACGAAAACTCATTTTAATTGGAGTAAAAGTAAGTTTAAATGGTTCAAAAGAGACAAAAACGTACTTGGAAATGTAATGCCGCGGAGAGAAAAGGCAAGAAGGAAGACGATGAAGTGCGCATTACTGCGGGTTCGATTTCTGATTTAACAGCAAACAAGACGTCGGACACAGAGGACACCAACGTCTATTCTCGCCTAGACGTTGGAGCCCTCACTAATATGACGTCTAAAACAACTTTTCACCTACCCTGTCAGGCCATTTAGACGTCGGATGGCGGGATCAGACGTCTATATGGGGGATAAAAAGAACTTTTCATCTACCTGTTAGACACATAGACGTCTGTTAGGAGGGGCACCAACGTCTATAGACGTTGGTGTCCCTTCTAACAGACGTCTATGTGTCCAACTTATTTATGAACATGCCACCGGTCAATAACTTACGTTGATTATTTTGTGGTCCGACGTCTACTCGGTGACGTTAAAGGCCAATTCTACACTAGTGATCTACTTTCAAGAAAGCCTTTTCCTCTTGGAGCCAAGCCATGCAAGTTGAATATAATGCTTTAATGGCTAATCATACATGTTCTCCCACAGCTCTTCCTCTTGGACGAATTGTTCTTCCTCTTGTTATATATATAGTCCATATCTTCTTGTTTCCTGTATATCGAGTATTCATTGAACTCTTACATGAATATCAAGAATAATTTTTCTTCCTCTTAATTCTCCGTTTCATTTCTCTGCTAGATTTTTTTTCTCTCAGACTAAAGATTACTTTCTAATAGCCCTTCGTTATAAAACATTTTTGTGTCATCCTAAAAGGTTCATAATCAAGTGCAAAGAGAAAGCATCAAGGTAAGTTGTAAAAACATCATTTGCTTTAAATTCGCCCTTAGTTTTTCAAATTACGAAGCAAAACAACCTAGAAATAATACAGGACAAGTATATGTCAGAAAAATCTAGACACAAACAACTAAACTTACAGGTGAAAAAACTACGAGGAAATGTTATAAATAGTAAAGACACTTTTTTTCTAGTAAAATTGAACTAGTCTAGTATAAAATTAGTTTAATTAAGTTTGTTATAGTTATAATTAAAATATACAAAAGAATTAAGTTGTACATTTAACATTTTAATTTTGGAAAATGTAAAATATAATATTAATTAATAGAAAATCAAATATGTTTTAGGAATATTTTATTACAGTAATTATAACCTAAATTAAATAAGATTTTAACACTTTAAAAAAATTAAAATACATGTGTTAGTGTTATTAATTTATTTTATAAAGTTAATTTTTCTAATACTAAAAGAAAATTAACACTTAAACAGAATTCAGACTAAACCATCTATATATTTTAATGAAGCTTATTTAAATTAATTTTAAGAAACAATTTTTTTTTCAGTAAAACTGAGTAATAAATTATGCATATTGTATATATAATTAATTTTCGAAATAACTTAATTATTTTGATCCATTTCAAAAACATACATATCTGAATTAGGTATTTTTTAAGACTTTTTTTTTTTTGTTAATAGAAAGTGTAAGAATTAAAGAGACTGCAGTTTCCCTCTTCCCCTTGGAGTGAGAAAACCTAGGAGTGACCCCTGCAACACGACCGCACTCTTTTCTTTCTCTCAGACTCATCTCTCGTTGTGAAGTAAGTGGTTTTTTCTGATTTCAAGAGCAAAGATCAAAGCTTGGAGAACAAAAATGTTATACATAATTGGTTTGGGATTGGGTGATGAACAAGATATCACTTTGAAGGGGTTGGAAGCTGTGAAAAAGTGCCACAAGGTTTATATGGAAGCTTACACTTCCCTCCTCTCCTTTGGTCTCTCCACCAATGGCATCTCCAACTTGGTACCGTCTTTTATCTCTCATTCCTTTCCTTTCCCATTACTCTTTCCCTCTTCAATTTTCACTTCAATTTTCACTCTTTTCATCTTCTTAGGAAAAATTATACGGTAAACCCATTATTCTTGCCGACAGAGAAATGGTAGAAGAAAAGGCCCATGAAATTCTTGCCCAAGCTCACCATGACCACGTTGCTTTTCTCGTCGTTGGGGACCCTTTTGGGTATGCTATTGCTTTCTTCTCAGTGCAACATTTTCTTCCATCAAATTATTCACGGTTTATTTATTGTTGTTTTTCCCAGGGCTACCACTCACAGTGATCTTGTTGTTCGAGCCAAGAATATGGGAATTGATGTCAAAATAGTGCACAATGCATCTGTGATGAATGCTATTGGAATTTGTGGTCTGCAGCTTTACCGATATGGGGAGACTGTTTCTATACCTTTCTTTACTGAGACATGGAGACCTGATAGCTTCTATGAAAAGATTCAGAGAAACCGACTCATGGGACTGCACACTCTTTGCTTGTTAGGTTACTATCTGTTATCTGTGCTTTAAAATTTGCTTGGATAATCTTCTTTGTAGCTTGTGAGAGAAGAAAATAAGAAGAAAAATTAAACTATGTTTGAAACTTGCTCCTGCTAGCTTCCTAATAAGTTAATTTTTAATATATGTGAGCTAATTTTAGTTTATGTAAAAACTTAATTTGTTTTATTTATGTTTTCTTGTATTAATTTTTCGGTGAAGGAAATTGTTCTGTAGATATAACGAACCTGATGTCTCTCTTGTACTTGTAATTCATTATAGTCTGATTCAGTAGGTACTATATGAAACAGTGTGATATATGTTGTGTGTGCTTTTTCCTTCATTGCTGATTAGTGAACTCAAAACCTTTTTATTGAACTTGTTATCTTCTGCTTCTTGGAATGTAATGTTAAAGCCTAGAGTGTGGCGTAAATAACTAAAAGATAGTTAGCATAAGAGTTTGTTATTTTATTCAATAACATGTTCAAAAGATTGTACCATCTGAAGTTAAGGACATTAGAGGAAAACTTTCTTCTTTGACTAGTGTGCTAAAGGTTCTTCCTTTTTGCGTATTGAGAGAGCTAATATAATTTCCAATTTGGTATGGTTACAGATATTCGCGTGAAGGAGCCCACACTAGAATCTTTGTGCAGGTTGATTTTCAAAATAGTATTTTTTTTCTCTTTCTCCTGTTTCTCGTGTAGGTGTTGCTGAAGTTCTGTCAGTCATTGTAATGTTCTGGTAGTATTATGACATTCATTGAATTGTTTAGTTTGAGGCTTTTCTTTGTATGTTTCATGTATCCTTTTTATTGTGGTCATTTCAGAGGAAAAAAAGCTTATGAACCACCCAGATATATGACGATAAACACAGCCATTGAGCAGCTTTTGGAGATTATGCAAGATCGTGAAGAATCTGGTGAGTTCCTAAGCATTAACACCACAGTAGTTTTGATAAATTTCAACTGTAAATTGTTTGCTTCTTGATTGCATTAATTTCAAATGTTTTTAGACCTTTGAAATTTGGGCTGGATACCTTATGACTTCTTGAATGTTTGAATCCATTCCCATTCCCACAGACATTCATAAGTTTCCATGCTTTTGTAATCTGCTCTCTTGGCTGCGTATTTGTTAAGGTGAAATAGTACATTTCTTATCTGGAGAATTTATCAATTCCTTGCTTTTACCAAATCATTGGCTGTATCCTAATTTGTCTGTTGACTGTATATTATGATCACCAGTTCTAGATTTTTTACATGTCAAATTGCTTTGTTTTCAAAGATATTTGAGGTGTTGTTAAAGATCAGTCACTTATGTAATTATGGTCCTTGTTTCTCTGCCCCATGTCTTTATTTGTGGTTCTTAAATGTATGCCCTAGTATTTTCTCATCAGGATCCAATCTTCACTGTGGTAAGCGCTTATACTTTATATATATTTGTCACAAGAAATATATGCATCTAGTTTATAGTGTCCTTCCCCTGTTTGCCTTGTAGCCTATACTGAGGATACCGAGTGTGTTGGGCTTGCACGGCTTGGTAGTGAAGATCAGATAATAGTAGCTGGAACAATGAAGCAGTTGCAGTTAATTGATTTTGGAGCACCTTTACATTGCCTTGTCATAGCAGGCAATACCCATCCTGTGGAGGAAGAAATGCTGGATTTTTACAGATGCAGGACATAGATACTTAAGACAGCAGGACCAATTTAATTTAGCATAAGGGACTTGCTGGTTTTTTGTAGGGGCCCTTTATTTTTGCTCTTTATGTAAAACAATTTTGTTTCTAATCAGGGCTAAAACTTAACTAAAATTCATTGGTGGATGGAGAGTTATGGGTCTTGAAATGTATTCAGCCCCCCAAAAGTGATTATTTTCTCAGTTGTAACTATATATCCAATTGAAATTGGCACCTATGTTATTTTGCTTTCTATCAGATCCTGTGTTCTAGTCTTTGCTTAGTTTATTAAATAATTTGGTTTATGATGTTCTGCTTAGCCTAGTTCGCTGTTGATGTTTTTTTTTTGTTTCTATAACAACTCGTGTTATGAATTTTTCTATTATTTATTTTGTTTCTTAAATTCGACCTATAACGACTAGGACACCATTATAAAGTTGTTTCTTTTGTGAACAAAATTATGCTAAATAAAGTGTATTACCTGGTAGTAGCAAGGGTTTGAACAATGAATGAATTAACTCATTCTGATAAATATAACTTCCAAAAATTTTGGAAGATAAAATAAGTTAAATTTCAATTGAAGTAATATAAAATTATTTTATCTTTTAAATATTGCTTGGATAAAATGATTAAAATTTATTAAATTTTAATTTTCTCATTTAAATAAAATTTAATTATGCAAATAGCTGGACCCAGCTACACTACAAACTAGCTAAAAAGTATAACAAAATCCTTCTACACATTTAGTTTCCTCATTCTGTACTGTTTGCCACACCTTTCATCCAATACATGGAAACGGCGATTTCCAGATTTCTCAGACTAATGTCATTTCATGCAATATTACTTTACTTTTCAGTATTTGGCAATGGTTGGAGAAAATATTTGATAAATTTAGGAAAATAATGAATTAATGATACAGATTGAAATGAAAAAGAAATAAAAATAATAGTCAATTTTAAATATTTTAAAAAAACAATTAGCAGATTCATTGGTAATAATCATATTAGCACCTTCAATTAGAATCCAGCAGTTTCCACACATATCACATGAATAAAACTTCATTTAACAATTTCTCAATGAGATTAAGTGGCACATGACATTGATATATGAACTACAACTTAACTATTTTGGACACAACCATCAGATCTCGTCCTAGTCAACCATATCAGTGTGTCTTTTGCTTCTCCTGTACCATAGACATAGAAGCAGAAACAAAATTCATTGGAAAACTATGTGACTTGGTTCCGAGTTCCATTGATGTAAAAATGTCAACTCATCTATTGATGTAAAGAGTTCTTGCTATCAGAAGCTATTATCTAACTTACCTGAGATATTGCTTGAATTTGATTAATCTCTTCTTCTAATGCATGCAATTTTTCTTCCGACATCATGTAGAACTCAGTTGACAGGATCAGGACAACAAATAAAAATTCGTAATAAACAGAAATGATTCAAAAAATAACAGTTAACAGGATCAGGACAGCAAATAAAATTCATACACATAAAACATTAATCATGTAACTCTCCATTGATGTTGAAACTGTAATCTTGGTCGGAGGAGGCATGGACTCAAAAGAAAATACGTGGGAAAGCACACAACAAATTTGGGGAGGTAGAGAGAGGTGATATTCACTTCAAATATTCTCTGCAATAATAAACTTATCAGGAAGAATTGATCACTTGGAGATAATAATGTCCAATTTTAAATTCTAAACCTATTTCGTTAGATAAAAATGTCCAGTGCTCATGAGGTATTGAATGCTGATCCCGCTCATCCTTGTGCAGCTTTGCTGGATAACATCAGAAGGCTCGGATCTCATGATTGGAAGACTTAAGATTCAAAAAAGAGAGAAAAATAAATTTTAAAGAGGTTGAAAGACCCCTTTTATGATCTTCTATTTATAACGATAGAAATATAATACAATGAGAAAATAAAAGATCTAAAGATTGCATTAGACTCCTAAGTACAGAACTAGAAATAAATCACAGGCACAGCAGAAAGTAGTTCCCAACACAACTACTTTCTCTCTAGATTTTAATACTTATCCTAGTACTCCCTATCAAACTACAGCATATAAATTATATATACCAATATGAGGTTTTTTTAAGGACTTAGTCAATATATTTGTAAGTTGGTCATTTGATCCGATAAACTCAATACAAATTTTTTTTTACAATAAATTTTTCTAAATAAAATGACAATCAATAATCAATTTATGTGTTTAGTTCTCTTATGGAATATTACATTCGACGTAATGTGGAGAGTAACTTGGTTATCACAATACCTTCATTGTCTGAATTTCAAAGAATTTAAACTCTAGGAGTTGTTTCACTCTTACTTTTCCAAAAAATAATATTTCCTCCAAGAAAACACAACATCCCGTGGCAGAATTTTATGAAGTAATGCATGTAACAAGTCTAATTTATCCTAATAATGAGTAATATGCAGTTATAATGCTAAATGGAATGCAAAAACTGAAATCATGCATGTGAACCTAAAACTAGCAGATTTGACAGCATATGTACACATGTTTAAGACCAAATCTGCTTTCTTATAATGCTAATGCAGAAAATATACATGCAGTAATTGGAACAAGTTTAAAGTGATATTTATGAATGAATAATACAAGCTAAAAGCAATGAATGCATGCATGGCTAAAAACCTACAACTGAAACCTGAATTTTACAGATTTACAAAACCTGATGCAGATATGAAGATTCAACATAAATTCTGTCCAAAATGCTATCCAATGCAGAATGAAAAGAAAATACTATGAATGGAGATAGTTGAATATAGTGAAAATTATGTATGAGATTAATCTCTCTTGTGTTGAATATACACATAGGATCCTTTATTTATAATAGAAGAAATATGTACTAAGCCCAAAACACAAATAAGAAATAATAACAAACGGACTAAAGATAAAAGATAAATATAAAATAAAGATAGTATATCCAACACTCCCTCTCAAGCTGGTGCATACAAATCCTATTAACCAAACTTGTTACTAATATAATTAAAGACTTAGTAAAAATATCTGTTTTTTATACTTAAGTGACACCAAATTGCTAATGATTAGCAAAAACGACATTGAAGACAAAATACCAACCCAGAAGACTCCCTCTGAGCAACAAATCTGAGAGGTTTTTCCATGTAAATCTTTTCTTACAAATCACCATTGAGGAATGTATTGTTGACCTCCAGTGAATAAAGAGGTCATTGTTGAAGAGTCACCACGGCTATAAATAAACTAACAAAAATCATCTTTGCCACGGGAGAAAAAGCATATATGGACAGATCAAACACAATGGTGATAGAAGGGAGGTCAAAAGGGACAACAACATAAGAAGTCATTGATGAACAGGAGAGAGAAACCTTAAAAATCTAAGATACTCCAACCAAGACACCTGAAAAAGGAAAAAAGAGCAACCTCAATGCTCTAAATAGTTGCCTGATAGGAGATGGGACGTGCAACAATGCACAACGAACCTAAAAGAGGAAAAATAACGACCTCGACGCTCTAAATTGGCTGAGACGCGCGACCATGCACAACAAATTTGAAAGAGGAAAAAGAGCGACCTCAACGCTCTAAATCACTGCGAGATGTGCTACCATGCACAACGGAAAAGGGAGCAAATCCACAACTTCAAAAGGCGTTGAGCGCACATAGGAGCTCCGATGAAAGCGTCTTGACAACACAATGGTCGCTTGGCCGAAACGATCAAAACTGTGATCGTCAGTTGAAACTGGAACTCCAGTAGTAGCAGCAGTAGACGATGATGCCACCGGCAGCAGTAGATGGCACTGCCGCGGGCAACAACAGGTGTCGTGATAGAGGCAACAAAAATTTGTTTTTCCTCAAAATAACTTGACAATACCATGTTAAATTTAGTGAAAACTATGTATGAGATTAATCTCATAGGATTCTCTATTTATACTAGAAAAAAAATGGTTAAGCTCAAAATACAAATAAAAAATAATAACACTAACTAAAGATAAAAGATAAATATAAAATATAGATAATATCTCTAACAGAGATAAACTGCATATGCAATGGTTCCTACACATCTAGAATAATGAGATGTGATGAAGGATGACATTTAATCATGTAAGAAATACACATAATCTAAGTCACTTCTTGATCCTAAGGGTGGCAGTAACCTTCGTGGTGTTGTAACCATGCTCTACAAAATGCAATGTGTTAAATTGAAAAAGTACCAAACGATGCTAGAATATGAAAGCTGTATGCTAAACATGGATGCTATTGCACAGGATCATGAATCACAACTAAATCTATCAATGACAGCATTATGGATTTGTGTTATTTTCAGTTTATACAATAAAGAATACTATTCTTCTTTCTCTTTTCAATTCTGGATTCCTAACAAATTGGTTCTACTTGCCAAATCAAGATGGGTTGTAAGCATGGAAGGGAGAGTCGGTGCCTTGGAAAGATTGACCATAAAACGGGGTAGAGCCATAGTCAAATTAAGGAAAAGTTTCCAAGAATTGAAAGAAATGATACAGGAATACCAAAATCAAGAAAGGGACTCAAAAGGAAGTGAGAAATCTATCATGAAAGGAAAGAAAGAGGGAAAAACGGGTATGGATGCTAAGAAAGATAGTTTGTGAAACATCAATAAAGGCAAGAAATTCTTTGAAGGAGAATTTCAAGAGTCAGTCAAAATCCCGAAATGGAAATCTCACAAGATTTCAGGAGTCAGTCAAAATCTAATTATGATCAAGAGTTGTAAAATCAATTTCATCAAGCAAGAAGAAAACAGAACGTAAAGATGTGCAAGAACTAAAATCCAAAACAAAAACAACTTGAAATCATATAAGAACAGTAAAGAATGCATGAAGAGTAAATTGGATTGGGAAAGAATTGGAGGAACAACTTGTATTGAAACTGGGAAAATTTACAGCGAGATTATATTAGACAGAGGGATTTACAATTTTGTAAAACAATGACAATGCTTCCAGGATCTTCAAGTCTACAAATTTTAATTTATCACCAGATATTTATCTAGATTGAAACCAGCTATCTCAGCCTCCTTGCGGATCTCTATGCACTTCGCAGTCCTCCCAGAGGCCATGTAAATTTGAAGCATGTCCTTGTATAAGCCAAAAGTGGGAGAAAATCCAGCCTCTTTAAGTTTTGAAAAATATCTCATGGCCCTAGATAGATCATTCAGAGCAACAAACAGTTTTATTACTGCACGATAAGCAGGAAGGTTAAAAAGGCAATTAGAAGACTCCATCTCCCAAACTACAGCCAATGCCTCTCTGTATTTCTTCTCTGTGTAACGACTGTGAATAACAGAAGTGAACATAACTATGCTTGGTTGATAGCTAGACTGCTTAAACCAACTAAACAGGCTCTCAACTACTTCAAATTTCCCCATCTTAACACATACTTTCATTATAGCAGTACAATCTTGCTGGCTTAAATTCAATTCTTCTCGTTCTCCAAGTTCATCCAACAAGGGCAACACATGCCTGTGTCTGTCAGGGTTCTTTCCAAGTTCTAATATTAACTTAGCATAAATGCTAGAATCCAACATTCTTTTATCCCTTCTGGCAACTATTAGAACCTTCCATGCAAGTCTAAGGTTCCCACCCTTTATAAAACCCTTGATCATTGCCTCCAATACCGCACGACTTGCCAGACCAGTATACTGGTCAATGTTGAACGGAATTCTTAACTCATGGTTCCTAGCCAAGACCTCAACAGTTGAGGCCAGAATCCAATCATCCGGGAAGAGGTGTGGTTGATTTTGTGCCCATAAGAATGTCTGCAGAGCTCTCTCAGGGAATCCCATATGACCTAATTCCCTTATTGTCAATGACAACGACCCTTTTCTCAGGAACTGCACCCACTTCCCAAGAACTTTAGATACATCTTCAGCTGGACCAAGTCTACTCATTTCTCTTGCCAGTCCAACTAGGAAACTTGGGCTTTTGTACACTTTCTTAGCCATAGAAGCCCGTGAAGAAACTACAGTTGGAGCTGTCAATTTTACTTGTGTTTTTGGTTTGGGTAGCCCCAAAGGTCGGAGCTTGTAGGGAGCTGGGAGAGGAAGAGGCCTTTCTCGATGTAATTTTCCAGGCTTTTGCGGAATTCTACCTTGGAAAAGTGATGAGATGGCTTCAAGCTCATCTGATTCCCAAACAACACCAATATTTTCATCCTCCTCTTCGTCATTCTCTTCATTGATATCAAAATCATCCTCAGTTGGTTTAGAGGTGGTGCTAGGCTTCTTCAAGAACAAATTAACACCAAAATCTGGAGGTTGCTTAGGATATGGTCGATACCGATTATCCTTTGGTGGTGGTCTTCTTCTTTTCGAATGTGCTGCTAAAGTGACTCTTCTGTAGTTGCAACAAATTCTTCCCAACGGAATAAAATAAACACAGGGAAATGAAAAGGTGCAGTACATTATTCACTAGTACGAATTAAAAATGTGGCAGTTGGATTGTCATTCAGAACCTGCAAAGAAAATAATCGTCATGTGTGTATTTTGTTCGGTGTAGAACTTTTATCAAACAAATAGTGTGCATATTTCAGCACCAAACCCGAAAAATAAGTTACTTCTTATTGGAAAGAATTGAACTTGCCGAATTGGGATGACGAATCTCAATTCCATGAACACACAAACAGCTTTTATTTCATTCGGGTTAAACGGCAAATCTATAATTGTTTTTTATTCACTCCAAAGATAATTTCTTTTTTAGGTTCTCAAATTGTACTTGATGAATAAAATATTGATTAGACTGAATGCAAATCCCTAAATTTGTAGAAAAATGAGTATAAGAAAAATTAGGGAATAAGAGAAATTAGGGAATAAGAGAAATCGTTGGGGAGGGTGAGTGTACCTGGTGAAGAGTGTATTTAATGGAGAGGGGAGAGGTTTCTAGGAATGAAAGGGTCTGTGAGAAAAGTTACCATTTGCTCTCTGCCCAAATCAGA